TTGAAATCCAGTTATATAAAATAAGACTAAACAACTCTAGACATCCATGATTTGTAACTATACTCAAATATTCTGAAACCTGTAGAGTATATTTACATTATTTTAACATAAATTTTATTTAGCTTTAAATCAAAAGTTTTTACTGGAATCAAAAGTTTTAACCACAGTAGTGGTTCAAATTCAATATCAGTTTTAACAAAAGCTATTTCTCAAAATATATGATCTTTACAATAAACAGAAATCAGTTTTTCCTTTGTTTTGTTTTTGTTTTTGTTTTTGTTTTTGTACCGGGGATCGAACCTGGATCTTTCCGCTTGCAAGGCAGGCGGCGATTTTTCCTTTGTTTAAACTCAATCCGGAGTTATTCCTGGAGTGATTTTAATAGCTGATGCAGGTGAGAAGGTCCACACATAGCTTGTTATTTGTTTAGAGCTGACCTAAGTTTGCTCTTTGCATTATGAGAAGATACATTCTAAAAATTGAAAAAAGTACAATTTTCAAGTTTAAGAAATCAATGTTCCAATTGTACAATAAATTGGTAGATGATCCAGAATACTAGAGCCAGGTACTTACAATCACCATCAAGGCAATTCAAGTCAATATTTTACTTGTGTCAGGTGTTAATGAAACTTTCAAATGGCCATCTATAAAAGAAATCTTATATGACTTTTTGCTGTATCATTTGAATAAAGTTCTGTTTTGGCTTCATCATATCATGAAGAAGTTGTGGAATGTTAGGTGTGGGTTTTAAATTTCACTGAACTAACACAAGATTCTGCTAATGTAATTTACATCATTGATGTCACTAATCACTTCATACCTTTCAGCAACAAAACACTGATAGTCTCTTATAGGGATGTAACAGGTTAAAAGTAAGATGATCCCATAATGATGTGTGAAATCACTTTTTATGCCTTCGGATCTTCTTCTCCAGTGAATTCTCATAAGAAAGTGCCTCCTTGCACCTTCTGGCCCCTTCACATTTGGGAACCCAGTCTATCCCAAGGCCTTTCACCTGCCTCATTAAAACATTTTTATTAAACTGAACAGTATATTAGGTTGGTATAACATTATTTGACATTTTCATAAAATTGCTTGGGCAGGTTATGAAAACTTTGTGTGAGACAGAAGCAGGCTAAAGCACAATACATATTTTTAAAGTTACATCAGTGCAATTCTGTCTCAGAGAACTTTATATCAAGGAATTAGTTTGAAGGAAAGATTTTTAATGAAGTGTGAATTTTGAACAATTCAAATTATTGCATAGCTTTCAGGAAAAATTATATTAGAAATAGAATGCTTGTAATCTGTAGTAGAAATGAAGAATATAGTTACTTTCCTAGACTAAAATATTAATTTCTGTTTAGTGTGAGATTCACTTATTGAACTCCAAGTTATTTTTATTTTTGTAAGACAACCTTTTCCCGATTATTTTCTCTTCATGTGAGCTAACTACATCTTTTTTTTTTTTAATGTATTCTTCTTTTTTTTTTTTTTTGGTACTGAGGATCGAACTCAGGTCCTTGCACTTGCGCAGCAGGC